GTCTCAGCTGTAACAGGTCAGCCCAGAAGTTCATGTAGCCCAGCAGCGTGCCCTGGCATGCCCAGTAGTGGATGCTTAGAGCAAGGGAGTAAGTCATCGGCGGTTACAGAGTGAGCCTTGCCCCTGTTCCTGCCCTCCTTGTAGCTGGTGATTTAGGCTTATGCAATAATAAAGCTTTTTTTAAGACTCCGAGTCCTTACCTCCTCTTGAAGGATGTTCATGGGCAGGGGCGGTGCTTGGCACCTCTCAGGAGTAGTAAGTGAATCACCTCCCCAAATCACTTTGTGTAGGCGTAGAGCACAGGTGAGATTTTTTATGCCTCTGGTGATCACAGAGGTGAGGTTCCTGCGTGGGTGTGGGTGGGGCTTTTGTGGCATGAGCCAAAATGCTGATGACTTTAACTGCAGGGAAGTCACGAGCGCTCATTTATTTAATGGCTCTATCTTGATTTTGTTCTTGATGCTGTAGGTATAACAGCCTTGTGACTGGCAAGCGGGCGAGAGGACTCATCACTGTGCTGTGGCTCCTGTCCTTTGGAATTGGACTGACTCCGCTCATGGGCTGGAATAAAGCCATGAGCGGTTGTCCCAATGCCACCAATGAGACTGGGGCTGACACGGGGACAGAGCACCATGGCTGCTTCATCTCATGCCTCTTTGAGAATGTGGTAACGATGAGCTACATGGTGTACTTCAACTTCTTTGGCTGCGTGCTGCTTCCGCTCGTTATCATGCTGGGAATCTACGTTAAGATATTCATGGTCGCCTGCAAACAGTTGCATCAGATAGAACTGATGGGCAACTCCAGGACCACACTGCAGAAGGAGGTCCACGCAGCCAAGTCTCTGGCCATCATTGTAGGACTTTTTGCCTTCTGTTGGCTGCCCCTGCATATCTTGAACTGCATTACTCACTTCCATGAGGAGTTCTCCAAATCCAAGCCTGAGTGGGTGATGTATATGGCCATCATCCTCTCCCATGCCAACTCTGTCATCAATCCCATCATCTATGCCTATAGGATCAGGGACTTCCGCTACACCTTCCGCAAGATCATTTCCAAGGTCCTCTGTAAGACGGACGACTTCCCCAAGTGCACCACTGACAACAACCAGCACCTGACTGTCGCCAGCATTAACTCTCCAGTAGCCTCTGTGACCATATGACTGCGCACGTCCTGCTCCTCGGATTTTGCAGTCTGTCCCTGACACTACCCTTCCCTGTGCCTATGTGAACAGTTACAGCTAACTCCCAGCGGAGTGCTCAGAGATGACCACTATACAGTTATGCAGCTGTATTTTATTTTATTTTTGTAATTAACGTAGTGCCTCCTAGAGGAACAACCTGACCGGGGAGACTGAGGGCAGCTCACCCTCGACTGTCAACCCAGGTTGCGTGAGTGCTGGTGATCGTATTGTATTTCCTTTCCAGGTCAGACATTGACTGTGGAAGACCCACCTGCTGGGGGTGTTTCCTTAATTGTGCTGCTCATGTCAAGTCCTAGGATCTTTATTTTAATTATTATTATTATTTTTTAATCTTTTGATTCGTTTAGGAGTAATAATTTTGTATCTGTTTTTGGGTTGTTCTTTAAGTCCATACTTGACAGCACTTTGGTAATACCCTAATTATTCCATCAATTGTTTGATGCAGCTAGTATTCTCCGATGGGAAAAAGTCTTACTTAGCCCCGTTGCTGGTGTGAAACTGAATCTGTGTTCCAGGCTTTGAGGGACGTGACCATGTTGATGGGAAAACAAGATGAGAACTGGCCAGCTATTTTTGGCCCCAGTATGGAAGCCCTACTTACTGAAAGAGAAAAAATTTAGAAAGGAGTTGACTGAAGTTTTAGAAGAGCAGTTTTATTGCCTTTAATTCACTTTGGTCTACAGGATTGATTATGCAGACCAGTGCTTCAGGTTTGATTTCAAATCTGTTCCCAGCTATCAAAATGCAAAAGGCAGAAGTGCCCTAATAGTTCTGGCTAGTCTGATCCAGAGTCACTGAGGTTAGTGCACACACCCCCTTGGTGACATCATCTCTACCATGAGGTTTTTGCTCCCAAGTCAAAACTTGACAGCGTGGCAGTGCTTCCATAAGTGCAGGTTTTAGGTGCGATAGCTGGATGCTGCAGCTCACCCGATTCCTAAACCTTGGTCTTGTTGGGGTTCCTCTGTAGCCCAGTAACCCCCAGAAGCTGTGAGTGCTTTTTTTTCTAATAGCGATTTTTATTTCTTCATTTTTTTTTAATCCTGACCTGCATCAGTAGCAAAAGAGACCGGAAGGGAGCTAATTTGCTTGAGAAGCTAGAATGCCTCAACTTGCGACCTGAGTTTTGGCCAAGCGCCCTGGGGAAGAAGCTCTCTCCTCGCGGGTCACCTAGCCTGGCCGCTGCCGCCGGCCGGGAGCCCCGGCCCGTTGTGAGTACAAAGCCCACTCAGCCGCGGAGCGGTCTTAATGTGTATCGCCACGTAGTGACTCTCTGCAACCACAGCTCAGTAGTTACTGCACCTGATGTAATAGGTAACTGTAATATGCAGAACCAGGCAAAGAGAGACAGAACAGTGCATTAATTTCTGATGTACGAGCTCCACTTCTCCAGACTGTCTGACGGCACGTGCGCTGCTGTAAATGAACCAGTGTTTCTGGCATGTTCTTTATTTTGCAGGGCAGTTTCATTCCACAATGGAGGGGAATAAGGCAAGAGTCAGAAAAACACCCAACAGCCTCCCTGCTTCGTGCCCAAAAGCCGATCGCGGTACAGAGCGAGTTGTTCTTGACTAGCTCAGACCTGCCATCACCTTGTGGCTCCCTTCCAAACGGGAGTCTTGCCTGAAGGTCTCTACGTGGTAAAAAGCCACCACCCCTCTCCGAAGCACTCGATGCCAGCAGCATCACCGTGCGACCAGCGAGCAGCCGGAGTGCAAGGAGGTGTGTTTAACAGGGTTTTCGGCGGTGGCCCGGGCAGGGAGGCAGAGGTAGGGAGCGGGCCTTTCAGAGCCGGGTGGCAGGGAGGGAAGTTTAAACACAGCCAGTTCCTGAAGAACAGGTCCAGTGGACAGACTGTGATGGCTGGAGCAGTTTGTCCCTGATAAATTGTACTTGAATCATACAGAAATCAGCTTTTTATTTTTTTAACTGCATTGCACTAAAAAGGGGGTACTCTAAGACCTCAAGAGTTTCATTTCTCTGGCATATATAATGACAAATACGGTGTAAAATCAGCTGAAAAGCTGATGTGAAGAAATCCTGTTCTGCAGCATCTGCTGTGCCAGCTGGCGTGACCTGCAGGCAGCAGCTGCAGGTATGACTTAGGGCCCACGTGCAGACAGAGGTTCACTAGGAGCGATGGATTTCGCTACCGTGTGCGTAGCAGCTCAGCTGTAAGAGCCAGCCCCAAACCTTGGTGAATCACCAGTAAGGGCTGAATGGGTTTGTGCGTGTTTATGCAATGTCCGAATTTAGCTACAGCTCGGTATCTCAGATACTGGCACTGCCAAGAAGAGTCTGAATAGTTAAAGCTACTATCCCAAGTGTTTCTCCTTTAACAGCCCCATTCAGCTTTGCTGCATCTGCCTTGGTTGTAGTCCAGCTAACACATGTAGCCACCTCCTGCCATTGGGGCAGGGCTGACTCTCTCCTCCTTTCATTCCTTCCCTTCTGTATTATCTTTGGCTGTGTTCCGTCCGTTAATCATGGCTGGAAACAAGCAGGGTTTCACCTGCAGGTCTGGCAGTGTTGCAAAGTGGTTGCAAGCCACATTTATCCTTACAACAAAGAATGTAATCTCTCCCCTCCTGCTGGCTGAAAACGAACCAAACTCTGGAGCACGAACAGACTGAAACACACAGCGCTGCAATACAGGGCGAGCCGGTCCCAGAACACTTGCTCGCATGCGACAGCTTGCACTGCGGCTCGGCATCCACTACAGCTACCTTTCACATGCCTCTCATGAGCCAGAATTCCTGTAGACAGGTGAGGTGTGCCCTTCGTATGACTGTGCCATCGGGTTGTTCGCCATTGTTAACTATGGCCCGGGTCACCATGGTCTTCAGGCACATCAAGCGCCTTTGTGGATCTGAGCCAAAGTCATTTCAAGGCAAAATAAAAATAGAACACCCCTCTTGCCCCCCTCAAAAAAAAAAGCTCTGAAGGTTTCTATAAAAATGTGAAGTCAAAATGGCAGAGGAACTTTCTGCAGCGAGTGCAGCTGTAGCTATTCAGCTATCGCTCATTACTGCTCTGATGTATATAGAATGGATGTGTTTCCCTCATGTTGCTCAGATTTTGTATTTGCAGTAACTGTTATTTACATACAGAATGCTTAATTTACCACCTACACAACCTGGCTCAGCCTGTGCCTCATTATTTCTTGCGGTGTTGTGTTCAGACGGTGTATCATACGAGGCCACGCTGCACTCGAGGAGGAGCCCAATCTCGGAGCACGGGCAGGGAGTCACAGAGTGGGAAGGAGCTGGTTCCCAGCTCACCAGCTGGCATGTGGAACAGCGGAGCAGCAGTCTCCTTTCCCCCGTGTCTGATGTGGACAGCCTTGCCTTGCCTGCCAACATGAGGTGGTCAACTTGGCTGAAATGGGTCCATTTAAAAGCACAGCAACCCGGGTGACGCTTCCAAAGATCCTGTATTGCAGCAAGCACAGCAGAAGCACAGACCTGTCATCAGTCTCGAGGTGCTGAGGGGTCCCTACCCTAGACCCTGGTATACATTTGCCAGTGATGAATCAGAAATTGCTCTGAGCAGCCAGCTGCAAAGAGCCACTGCAGCGTCGCTCTGTCAGAGGCCAACCCCACAAAGCCGTGCAGGCACTGGAAGGGTGGTGGGGTTAGTCAGAGCATGAGCAGAGTTAACAAGGTTTACTGGATCACTAAGAGAGCTGCTGGACTGTTCATATCCCCACATTGCAAGCACGCAATACTACAGATTAATTCAAACATCTTTAGCAATCCCAAGAACAGCCTAAATAAATGAAACTGAAGTCAACACAGGCTTCTTAACATTTATTAATTAATCCATCAGTGCAATGCTGCTAATTAATGTCACGCTTGGCTGCAGCACAGGAAGAAACCTGCCAACCACAATGAACATTTGACGGTCTTGTAGATATAAAAAATGCCAGCTACGCAGCTGGGAGGGTACACAGAAAGCACATCCACATGTGATGCAAATCCTTCATCCTTCATCCTCTTCGTCGGCCAGTAAGATGCTTGTGAGCTGCTCCTCAGAGACAGTTAGTTCCTGGCAGGCTCCCATGGCCTGGCTGAGGTAGACGGCAAGTATATGTTTGCACTGCAAATAATAGCGCAGCCAAGTTAACAGCAGGAGCAATGCAGGAATGTCGTGCTCTATCTCGAAGCCAGAAAAATCCATCCTGGCTAGAACGGGTCTAATGAAGCGCTCACCTCTCCCAGGAGTATGGTTCCCTCTTGGAGCGCCAAGCCCTGGCAGAGGCTGGCGCTGCAGTTCCCCCGGGTTCTGCCATCATGATAATGTAATACAGGGATCTGACACACAGCAAAGTGTTGCTGGCTCCTGATGCCCTCCTCACAATTGCAGACCAATTAGTTATCCTGAGCCCTTCCTCACTGGCACCAGGTGAACTGTACCACTTCATCAGCCAGACCCCATGTGGCAGTCCCCTTCACAGCAACAGCCCTTTTTCCAAGAGACCAGGGATTATTAATCTCTTGAAAGTCAGAACAGTAATGCATAATTAAGAACAAAAGCCCTCCCTAGCCCTTGTAAGGCCTAGCTCCACCCAAATACCATGAGTCCCAGAGGGCAGATTATGCAGTGGGTCAGGCACAGCCTCCGTGGCCAACTCAACACTCATGCGTTTGCTCCCTTGGAAACTTCAGGCTGCTCAGGTTCAAGAACCAGAGCACAGCCTTCTCCTCAGCTCCCTGTCCCGGCCCCAAGTTGAGGCAGACAACTTACCAGAAGGCTCTCGCTCTTCTGCAATACAGCAAAACCAAAAGCAGGACATGTACAGAAGTGGCAGGAACTGTAGCAGGTGTAAAGCTTGCCTGAGCTCCCAAGGACCTGAAAGAAAGGCAGCTGGAGGGGGCAGGACTCAGCCAGCATTCACTTTTAATTTCTCTAACTCAGCCTGTATCTGGCCCAGCGTCCTGTCCACAATCACTCACACCAAGCAACAAGCGAGCAGGTGCTGCAATACAAAAGTGACCCCAAACACTGTATCGACCTAGCTAAGCTTGAGCTTCTCAGCTTTCTCGTGGTCTCCACATGCTTCTCTCACTGCAGGCAAGGAAGCGCTCCTGTACATACAGCTGTGCTTGCAGCAGACCTCAGCTGCAGTGACTCGTCTGCTGCCAAGAGATGAGGAAAAGGGCAGTAATACTCCCTCCCCTGATCTCCCCGAGCCGGCAGCACAGCGAGCTGCCAGCCCCTCCAGCGAGCTCCCTCCCCAGGTACCAGCAGATAGTTGAAGATGACAAAGACTCTCTTGTCACAGAAAGCTCATTTGTGAATCCAGAGCTACCACATACCTGGGGATGGAAGGACAGCAGCAGTGAGCACTCGCAGTGAGGCCTTTTCTAGCCAGCTCCAGTGGCTGGAGGCTGCAGAGGCTCTTGCTGTTCTGCTCCCAAAACCAGCTGCAGCTATTGGAATCCAGTTTTGTCTGAATAAACAAAGTTGAAGTCTCCAGAGAAGAAGCCATTTCTCATTTGGGAACAGCACTGCCTCCCTTTCCCACATGCTGTTCCTCTGCAAGGCTGGTACTGAGGCATATTCCCTCAGCACCATGGGCACAGGATGCAGGAAGGCAGGTGAGGGAAGCATTTGTTTCCAGCATGGAGAAGCTAACAGGCAAACTGGGAGCTGCTGGAGCTGACTGCATGGTATAGAAAAGCCAGCCTATGGATTATGTCTCTTCTGCTTTCTTCAAGACTGAAAAATAGCTTGTAGAAAGCTATTTTAAGAGCCAACTGCTCTGCCCTCCTCTTATTGCAAGGGAAGGGTCTACAGGAGCAGAACACGCTCGCAGACTTTAAGCAGAAATCTGTGCCCAGTAGCATGGACTTTACTAATGCTCTGAGGCCTAAACTGAGGGCAGCCCATGCCCAAAACACAATTACCACAGAATATTTGCTGCCATGATGTGCCTCGTATCTGCCACAGTGAGTGCAAGTGCTTTGTGTCAGCTCTATGGCCTCAACAGCTGGCACTAACTCTTCCTGGATATTCCAGGGAATGGTGGGGGTTTACACGGGTGTAGTCACCAGCAGCGCCCTTCTCTGCACATGAGCCTCGGCTCTGATGGCACATCACGCTCCTCTCCCATACCACGATTTAGATTCTGGTTGGGTTTGTGGCACACATATACCTAAATCCAAAGATAAACACAAAAAACTGAAAAGACAGTGTAGCTCTGCAGAGTGCTGCTCCCCTCCAGGACACCCATGGCACTCCTAAGTCCCTCCAGAGGAGCACCGTCCCTCCCGGTCCAGAGCTGCACTTGGAAGGGGGCCCTTCCCCTGTCCCCTGGAGCGCTCTCTGCACTCCCTGCCCAACAGGTAATGCCCACACGTTTAACCCCTCCCACAGAAGTGCCTCTGCCTCGTAATCCCACTTACTCCCAGAAGATTCAGGACACGAGACGCATTGCCATTTCAGGGTAAACCGCTCTTTTTTCAGTCTGGCCTTTACCCTGGGCCCTCCTTATACTCCAGGCTGAGTTTGTTTCACTTATGATAAGTTTGTTTTGCTCTAGCCCCTTTGATTGTTTTTTCCAAGATGAAGTATTCTGATGGTGCCTTTCCTTCAGAATTGTTTTCCTTCGAGGAGGGGGGGAAGACACAGACACTGCCAGATTTGGGCTGAGTTTAGCGTTCCCCCATCCTGACCTAGATGGCAAGAATGCAGCTTCTGCCTAATAAGGCAGAATCTAAAATCCAAAGACCAAGAGAAAAAGGTGCCTCTGTTTCTGGCCAGCTGCAGCCAAGCCAGGCACTGGGGTGCTCTCTTGGCCCTGAGATGCTGTGAGATTTCCTTCCACTGCCCTCATCTCCAGCCGCTTGCTGGCTGCACAGCGAGGAAAAATCACCTTGGTGGTGGTGTCCCTGCCAGCGTGTGGGGATGCAGGAGGGCCAGCTGTGGCACCATGGCAGCTACTGCTGCTACCAGCATACAGCTAGGCACATACCACAGGCTGTGCCAGGACCTGATGCTCAAATCCTTCATGATGGGGCAGGCTGCCATAAAGTTCTAGGAAATCAATTAAAAAAGACATAAAAAAGAATAATCCAATAAAAGTGCAGGATGTGAGCAATGCAAGTGACAGTTGGCAGGAGGGCTAAAGCACTGCTTCTCCCCCTGCTAACTGGCTTCACTCCCACAGCTCACAGCATTTCTACAACTCAGACATAACTAATAGGTGCCCCAACTGCCGCCTGCTCACCACTTTACGCTTCTGCCGAATCCAGCACAGCTCCGCCATCAGCATCCACCATCTCTGCAGCAGGTAAGACTTATTTATCCCAGCTAGTGTTGGCTTTAGTCTGCAGTGGAGGCAGGTATTTTACAAGCTCTTCTGGGTTGATTAACAACTCTGAGGTAACATCAGCCCTTGAATACCCCATTGGTGCTGCTCCTCTATTAAGTAGCAAGGGCATTAATGCCCAGGCATTAAATGACAAATCATAGCTTTCACTCGACTGAGGGCTCTTCCTTCTCCCATCTCAGTTCCTGAGGGCAAGAGCTGCTTACACTACAGGCTGCAGTCCTAGGCCTGTCTGAGCACAGCCATTTTCCCCTGAAGCAGTACCTAAGATGTGCTGGGTGATATAGAACGCAAACAGCATTTTAGCCTGTGAAGTATCAACATCTCAGATTTGGCTATGACGGCCCAAAGGAGTTTCACAATAGGACCAGCCTCATGGCCTCAACAAGAACAGTTCTCCAGATCCAGCCGCAAGTGAAAGCACCACCTCACATTCCAGCTCAACCACATCTGGGTGCAAACAGCAGAGATGACTTTCTGGGGAATAAGTGAAAGGGATGACTCTGCATGTGCCCAGGCAGCCACAGATGCCCCCCATCTTCCCACTGCACAGGGCCTGCTTCTCTGCTGAGGGAGAAGTGCATACAGCTGGGTTACGTGTCTACACCACACACACATGAATGAAGAGCTACTCTTAAGTGTTTCAGTTTCTACCACCCCAGATTGTGTTCCTGTCACTGCTCCAGGCAGCGGCCTCAGGGGAGGCTCTGTTCTTTGTTTCTGCAGCTCAGACAGCTGTGCTGAGGAAGAATTTCGCAATGGGACCAGCCTTACACCCCCAGAGAAAATATTTCTTCAGATTCCTCTGTTAATGAACTCATCATCATGGCCTTAATCAGCAATCAAGCTCCACTAAAGAGGAATGCTGCTCGGAAGGCACACATGCACCTGCAGGCAGGGACTGCTTCCTGTAGGCTGCCAGTCAGCTGGGAGGACATGTGCACAGACCCTGGGTGATGCAGGGGGGGTGCTCACATCACCCCCATCAGCTGCAAAGTGCCTGGCTGAAGGCTGGGCTTGTCCTACATTAACTCCTGGTGACCAGCCCTGACCTACCTGTCCAGGGGTTCCTTCTCTGCTGGGGAACCGGTGGCTCCCTCTGCCTGCAGAGCACTTGCTCTTTTTCAATGTGCACCAGCTGAGCCAACTGTTGGGGCCATCAATAGATACTAATCAACCCGCTCCCATTCAGTGACTGCAGGACTGCCTCCAGCAGGAGTTTTTGGCCCCTCACTTCAGTGGGGAGGGGGCTGGGCAGTGTGGAGGGGTGCTGGGTGCTGGCCTTGCTGCAACACATGCAGTTTGAAGCAGCACTGTTCAGCAACAACCCTGCCCAGACCAGAACAGGGTGTCAGGGCAGCACCCAGCACATCAAAGCCCTCTTGCCATGCTTCTCTGAACTCCTCCACATCTCGCGAGGCTTCCTGCATCTAAGAGATGAATATTAGGCATTTTAAGATGGAGATAACTCCACCATGCTCCAGAAAAGCTATGAGCATGTAAGCACACATTTAGGCTCCCTGGGAAGACCAGAGGCTCTAAGCAGTCCTTGTCATCCTTCACACAAAAGGGTACTAAGTGAAGACTCTGCATCCCAGCCTGCAAAGCTCTGCCTTAGTCTGCATGGCCTGATAAAGCTCTGCAAGGAGAATGTGACCATTCTCTGCCCAGTGGCATATTCTGCCAAGCAACAGTAGAAGAGGAAAGAGGAAAAGCCTTTAAGCATTCAATTAGTGAGGCAGCTGCTGTCTAAAGGTCATGGAAGCAGTGCTTCTTAGGCTTTACCAAATATCCACAGGCAAGCCCTCAGTTAAAATCAAAGACTCTGTTCTTGAGCCCTTGTATGTTTGTGAATCATGCCTCTCTGGAGGGGCCGATGTCCTCTCCAAGGCCCCAGAAGCGATAAAGACTCCATGTGTGAATCAAGCAATACAAGCTCTGAACACATGAAAAACATTTGTGTTGTTACCCAGGCCTGGCTTCACAGCCCTGCTCTTACCCTAGATGACCCCAAAGCATCTCAGCACCTCCAGTGGAGATACTCTGCAAGGAGGGTATTTGGAAATGTCCCTCTTGGTTGCTGCAACAGTGAACAAAGAGATTTCCCCCTTCTCTGTGGTTCAGCAATGGAGGGGGTTACTATCTGAGGGGATTAGCACTGCTAAGTAGAACAAATTGGGTGGTTCTTCACCAAAATCATATGGGCACATGGTCCCACTGCCTTAGCTAGGGCACAGAACACAGTGCCTCTCTGACTCTGTGACTCCATGGGCTGGATGCAGCTGGTCAGTGGCTCACAGAATGGACAAACTGTCCCCAACAGAGATGCCACCGGTGCTGTGGCACAGTAGAGCAAGGAACTGTGCATCCACAGAGAGTCAGAAAGAAGTGCCAATGGCTCCTCTCTTCACCTGATGAGCCTCAGCTCCATCTCCAATCCTGTGCTGTAAGGTGAGTTTGATCTTTAGGGCTAAAGTGAGCTCTTCTCCCTAAAATGCCATTTTATGAACGTGTTTCTGTGATTCACAGACTTGGCTACCGTGACCTAGAATGAAACCCACGGATTTGGCCTGCACTGCTTCCTCCCAGGCAGCAAAGATCCTACCGCCAAGTAGAGGTCAAGAGTGCTCAGGACACTGAGGATTCGGAGTGCAACAGGGAAAGAAATGCAGTGATGGCAGATAACCCTCCATTGCGTACTGTTTGTCAAGAGGAAGAACTGCCTTTGCTGGATAGGATGAAGGTCATAAAGCAAAATTAGCAATCCCTGGAAAACTTCCTTCTGAGTGTGATACCCACAAACACATAAGAATTTGTCTCTGACTGGCTGGGAGCCACAAAAAAAATGGTAGTGTACCACGCTGTTCTAATTCTAGTCTGTGGCTACCGCTCTCCAGTATCACTTTAGGAGTTTGTAAAACACTGATATTCTCTCTGTGTCTACCCAAGTGCCCCTCCATGTTCTGCAAGTTAGGAAAATACTGGCTCACATGTCAACTGGAAACCATCAGAAAGTAAGACTTAAGAGGAGTGTGTACCTGGTATGCAGTCCTTCCGCTGGGGGACATGACTCGGGTGACAGAACGCTGATCTACCAAATCCAAAGCTGGGACAGCAGATGGGCCAAATATGAACTTCAGCCTGAAAGAGAACGTGTCTCTAGTTAGGTCACACCACAAAAGGAGACCACCTGTCTTAGCCTTAATCCATAGGCTTTAGCCAAAGGTTCCCATTTGCCTCTCAAAATCCCACCAGTTAGAGCTCCATTAATTGCACTACCAAGCAATTAAGTGCATTTGTCATTCTCAGCTTTGCTGGCTTTCACCAAGTGACCAGCAATGCCTGCCCTGTCCCGCTGAGAAAATCCCAGGACTCAGTCCTTTATGAGCAGCCTCTACTCTGCCAGCTATTTGGAGCTGGTTTTGATATTCTTAAGAGAACTTCCAAATTTCCAAGCTGCTCCCAAACAGTCACACATTTCTTTGCAAAACCCCACTCAGATTTAATTACAAGGCATTTTAAAGATTTTTCTTACACAGGACATTACAGCTTATGTGTTTCTTCTCCAGCACTATGACCTAAACACCATTCTGGCTGCCTGCTGCACAAACAGGACATGAAGTGGTTCCTGTCCCAAACTAAAATGAGACAAAGTGCATCAGAGACACAGAAGTGACATTTTTTTAGTCAGTCTCTATGACTGTGACACAGTATTAGCCATGTAGGCGAGGAGTTATCTTTAAGCACCATTTTTGGCTTGACAGTCACTTTACAGATCACTGATTATTGCAAAGGGAGTGTAGATGAAGCAAGAGACACAGGTTGTCCTTACAGTGATCAGATCAACCTTTTTGTTAGTACTCCCATACTTCTTCCAGTACAAACTCTGTGTAGACAAAGCAGCGGTGCTTAGCCAATTTATCAAACAGTGAATCTAGACTCTAAAAATGGAAACTTTGCTTCTGCCCAGCACCCTAAATACACTAGGTTTTCTTCAGGGGAAACTGCACCTCTGGCAGTAAAAGCAAGACATGCTGGCAAAGAGAAGATGCAGGAAGGAAGTCCTGGGGGATGCACAGTGCTGGGGATCCAACAGAGGTTACAGGCAACAGGCAGCATCACACACACAGCCCAATTAACCTTGTTGCACTAAACTGGGAAACTGTCACATGAGCACAACAAGCATAAACAGGGATTTTAATGGAGGCAGCACCAAGTAAACAAGAACACACGGAGGCAGACTTTTAATGCCAAGGGTAAAAGGGGCTCATGCTCTCAACACCTTAATTGTACATACAGCCTATACCGGATGAGTTGCCCTGGATCAGATTATTGATCTGGTATCCCACCTCCAATCATGGCCCACACATCGGAGCAAGAACAGAGCAAGGATGATACACAGTTCCTTGTGCAATAGGAAATGCAGCAGTAGGGCTCCTTCAACATCCCAGGGAAACTGGTTTAAACCCTGGAGAACGAATGAGTCATTTTGTAGTGATCACATCTCCTCCGTGACAGTCACAACTGAGGCATAAATTATTCTTTCTCTACCCACCAAACTGCATTGATAGGAAGCTAAAGACCATCAGGGAAATACTTAAGACACTCCACTGCACATGGAGCCATTGGATAGCAGTATTTTTACATCTGTAATCTAGCTACCAGCAGGGCTCAGAGACAGCAAATTTATTCCAGATAAACATCCAGGGACAGCACATGCCTCACGTCACCCCACTCTCCCTAAAAACCCTTTCCCTTTCCTTCCAAGCTGGACACATCGCCATGCAGGGACGTACCACTGCACAGCATTTATGGATCAGAGAATGCCTGGGATGGGGTAAAGATGAGGTGAGACAGGTTTGCTCAGGTACACATTTGCTTCCTGCAAAACATTGCCTTTACACAACTGTCTCCTCGGCCTCGGTCCTGTGAGGCAGCACCATGGAGGCACATGCTGGTGTCTGGCTGCTGCTGTGCTCGGTGCTGTAAAATTCCGCACCAGCAAGTAGAAGAATAAAGAGCTGTGAGTCCTGAAGGCATCTACATACTCATTGTCTGCACATCCCTGCAAGGAGGATTTTATCTCCTGCTGAGGCCGTGCAAGGGTATATGATAAGCTATATGTCGAATATGGGCATCTGTACCTTTAGCTTATTGTCCAGACAGGCTTAGAAGTTATTCTAGACCTGTATATCCAGCTGCTCTGAATGTGTTCCAAAGAGCTCAGGGGCAACTCAGTTAACTTTACAGACCTTTTATCCGCTGAGAAAAATCTGTGTAGTCTAGATTAGCTACAAGGGTAAACAACAAGAAAATCAGCAGTGATGAAAAGATAGTACAAAACATGAGCAGGAGAACAGGAGAAAGCAGAGGAACATTTCCAACTCCAGTGAAGACACAAAGCCAAGGCAGAGCCCTGGCGTCTCAGCAGCATGGCTGACCTACGCGTCTGAGTCAATCTCATTGATAACAAGCCAAGCAGACAGACTTATTCCAGGAAGACCAAAACTTCAGTTGCACAAACTCAAGGCAATAACGATTGGCTTCATCTGAGTATTGAGAGGAGGTGGGTGGGGGAACACTCCACGTAAGACATTCTTTAATGATTAGGTTTGGGACTATAATGGGGGCTGAGTTTAATGAGTTTCAGTAACTCTTTCAAATTTGGGGAATTCTTTTTTCATGTATATAATTCGATCAATCTAACAGGAAATAAGTAAGGGGAATGCCCAAAGGAAATTCAAGGACTTCAGAGATTTGGAAGAGATCCAGAAATTAAATCAGAATACTTCTGAGCCGCTGGTCACAGTGAATTGATGGAAATCTGACTGCCAAGAGTTACCACCCAACCGTTATTAAACTTAACAAGGGAATTTCTTTCCTCCTCTTTTCTTTTATGACAAGAAAGAAACAAAAAGTTACAAGACTTCTCAAATACAATCCCACCCTTCAAAGGCTACTGTGGTCCCAGAAGGGGTAGCCAGCATACCTTTCATAAGTGTTAGATAACTTTAGACCAAAGATATTAAGGCCTGAAGGGTTCCTGGTGATCTCCCCTCCTGGCTAAATTACAGGCAGGCAGGAACACAAAGTTAAAGATGAATCTGAAAAGCCTTTCTCACTGTGATGGTGCCTTTTCTCTACCTTCAACACCAATTAGTGAGGGCTGCAGAAGTTGTGAAACTTGGATGTCTTAGGAGAGTGCTTGGGAATGACTGAAATATTCACAAGCTTCAATCAACACAAGGACGATGAAGCTGACCTGAGATGACTTCTAAACAGAAAAAAACTCTCAGGGTAATCTTCAAGTTAACAATTCCCTTGTGCAGAGGGACGATAGATTCACTTCTCCCTTTCTGTCACACATGCCCAGGACGATAGATTCACTTCTCCCTTTCTGTCACACATGCCCATGACTCAGACAGAAGAAGGTATCTCAAGATGCCTCTGTGCGCACAATGATATGAATGCAGCAGAGATGCAGCACTCCAGCAGCATGAATCACTCTGAAACAGTCCACTGTCACAGAAAACTCATTCCAGATCTGAGGGTGGACTCAGAGCTCAGGTTAAACATTCTCGGTTTCTGCATGTTTAATCCACCCAAATTAGAGCAAATCATCACGGGAGATTCAGCGATACAGAGATAATTTCATGAATCTCTGGAAAAACCCTTGAGATTTTCTCTTTGGACCTTCATTTCCACTACCAGCAAAAACATGTAGCAAACATGTACTGGTCAAACACAGGAAAAAAATAGTGGTACTATGATGAAAGCAGATTATCAACTGCCCTTTAGTGGGACACTTGGGACAAGGACTGAAGCAAAAGATACTTACCCCAGTAGCAGGTCATCGGGGACTGCAACAAAAAGAAAACGAAGCGTGATTTTGCTGAACTTCCCCACTGTGAGAGACATCAACATCACAGAGAGGCTAGTGCCTCCCTAATGTACCCCCAGAGGCCACACAGGACTGCAGGGGTCTAGCCACCAAAAAGCAACAAGGAGCAGCAAAACTGTCTGCTATGGTAGTGTTAAGGCACTTATCAAGTACAGCAATTAAAAATACATTCAGAACCACAGGGATTAATTTTAAAAAGAAATGTGGCAGCCCAAATATACTTACTTTTATAATATCCTAAATGTAAAAGCATGCAAGAAAAGTCATGAGGCCTCTGCCACTTTTAGAAGTTGGTTAAAAATATATATATTGGTTTCCCTGAAACTCTCTTGGCATGACTTGAGAACTCTGGCATTAAAACTTTAAAAATATTCTTTTCCCAGCATAGTCTTGCAAGGCGCCACTAGTTTATAGCTTTTAATACAGAACACAGAAACATAGTCTTCAGTTATTAGAATTTCTTGTTAAGATGGAAAATTACAATTAAGAAAATTAGTCTGTTTGTTGTAGCTAACAGCTTACGCTCTGATCATCCAATCTGATCTTGCTGTTATCACTAATGGGACAGAGTGTACTACATCTCTGTATTCCACTGGAAGATCAGGACTTTTGACTTTAAAATCCTTTGTTCCAACAATTCAAAATATTTCCTATGATGTATGCTGTTGGTTTGACTTGTCCAACTTTATTCTAATTTAATTCTCCAAAGTGATCGATCCGTTTGTTTCCACAGTTATGTCTCAGTACTATTTTGGTGCTTTAAGGAGAAGTAAAAGGAACATTGACCTTTTTTTTTTTTTCCTAGTTTACAACAGGATTTATAAAGTTCTTCTAAAAAGTCGCTTGTAGATTTTGGATCTACTCTAACCTGACAGGAGCCATACTGTAAGTATGCCAAAAAGCTGTCAGTGTGGTCGCTCTTACAGTTTAGACATTAAGACTCTGCCCATTCCCCACTCAAATGTAGCGCTCAGACAGACTTCTCCGAATGTTTATTTGGTTGGTTTTAGTGCAGTCAAACATATTCCTTAAATAGAGGAAGAACCATTCTGTGCTACTTATCAAGTAAACACAAATATTAATGTTCTTTCAGCACAGATTACAGAACTGCATTAGTAATCCAGAGTGCAATGAAGGTAATTGTTCTTAACTATCTGATAGAATTGGCCAAGATTTAACCGTTGGCCAACGGTTCATATGCTTCATTCAAGCAAGGGGAAAGCTGCTCTTTGCCCTGGGATGGCTAACACAACTCCCTCTGCTGGTCAGTGATGAAACATGGTCGTTTTTATGAAGATTTCCCTTTCATCTAGTTTTTAAATGACTGAGTCTATAAAAACAGTAGTACAGTGGGCACAACAAAATGCTTACGTAGAAGTATGTAAATTATCATCCCTCAAGAGCAACCACTTGCACTACGCAAGCAGCATTTCCCTAGGTCCCACATTCAAAAAAGGGGTCCAATCTAGTCTAATTTTTGGAAGTGCTTGACTTTTAGAAGGGGGCTGCTCCTCATTATCTATGCTTCAAACCCCTTTGTGTCCAGACAAGTTGTATCAAGTACAGCAATTAAATATACATTCAGAACCACAAGGATTAATTTTAAAAAGAAAAGAGGAAGCCCAAGTGTACTTCCTTTTATAATAACTACTTCTGAAAGCCTGCAAGAAAAGGTGTGTACCCTCAACATCTTACTCTGCCACTCCTGAAAGTGAAGGCCACACCTTATATGACAGAGTCTGGAGAAGATGCAAGCAAGGGGGGGCTGACAACCCTCATTGCTACCTGAAGGTTTGAGAGTGCCAGTATTACTAGTCCACCGCCTGCTGTGATGGTTCTGCTTTTTATTTACATACCGTGTGAGGTATCCTGAAAAGCCTTTTTGATCTCTTTCAAAAGCTCTTCTGCTACTGCTGGCAAGGTACTATCCATCTCACTGGCACCGGCCTCGTGACTGGAAGCGAGACAGAAGAGGACAGGAGGCAGCGTGAAATCATTTAGGTCACCACAGATAACTATAAACTAGGACAGTTTATCTGAGCAGTACTGTATTTCAACCCTGTGATGAAGCAAAGGAAAGAGTATCCTCAGCACCTTTTGCACTGTGTTTTTTACACTTTCTCGGAATAAAGGGGTTTCTCAAAAACGCACGGGAGTGTCTCAGATACCCCCACGCATAAACAGACCCCGTGGAAGGGGGAGGGCGATACAGCCAGCAACAGGAAGCTCTGGCCTGGCGCGTCCCGGCGCTGGGTCAAGGCAGCTCCCGGCAGAGGAGGACGCAGAGCCCGCCCGCCCGCGCCCCTGCGGCAGGGGTGGCCTG